TTTAAAGGATGTCAAATACCAGAGCATATCACGCAGTATTTAAACAGCTGTAAACAAAAAAAAGGATATAAGTGTTGTTTAAATATTTACACCCCTGACTCCATACTAAAGCTTCATCTGACAGCCTCCATGTCTGCTTAAAAGTAGACCAAAAGTCTAAGACATAGGATTGTCAGTATAGCTAATGGCACTTTCTTTGTACATTGTAATGGATGCTTCAGCTGACACATTTTATGCATTTTTAATTAACTTGTAAAGCAGCTTAATGCTTTACAAGTTGAAAAAACCTCCAAAAAAAACCACCCCATTTTGTCATCAAGTTTGTCTCCAGTAAGTGCAGTTATGCAGCAGAACACTAACCAAAGTATCAAATAGGTTTTGCAAGTCAAATCCAATCTACATGATTCCAGTTAGATTTTTCTTTCATACAATTTATTAGTAAAGAATTTCTCTCAATATATGTCTAAATGCTGTTGGATGTAGACAGTAAGTACTGTAGCCATTAGCCATGTTTTATTTACGTGTGTTCTTACTGACAACAGGCTTGATTTTCTCACCAATTTTTTCTCCATACACAGTATCAGAACTGAACAGTGGACCCTGCAGAGAAGAACAAAGTCACTGCCAGATGGCCAAAATAGGAGGCTCAGCCCACAAAAGGTCATTCCCTTTTCTATCTCCATGAAAATAAAAATGTGAAGAAAACCAGACCATGTGCACACACATGCCTACTTATCCTTTTTCATAAAAACCCAAGTGTTGCCTTACCTGCAGTACAGCCCTGGCATTCCCGTTGTGTGCTGATTCACACAGGAGTATAATATGAATTTATTGCAGTAACTGTGTCCATTCAGCAAATCACTGCTCTCCTCCTTCAGCTCACTTGCCTGTGCCCTGGCCCTGAATGTTGTCAGCACAACTGTATGTGCAGCTGTACTGTGAACTGTATAATCCCCCTTAGCAATACTCCCAAACTGTCAACTTTAAGACAGTGAAAACTAGTTTTCCAACAAGTTCTTACCCTTTCAAAGCAACTTTCTGAAGCAAATAAAAATCTCAAAAATCTTTGTATTATCTTCCACCCTTAAAGAAACTTGAAGAACATTAACCATTTCTGTTCTCAACAACCAAGAGAAGTAAGCTTATATAACACATCCATGCATGGATGGAAACACTCCCATATATAAGCAGATTTACAACATCAGTAATCTAAGCTCAATTTTGTGAGGGTATAAGGCACCAAGAATCTATATACTTTCATAATAAAGTCCTTACACTAAATAACTTGAAGAGTCTTAAATTCCTCATTTTTTGATTGACTAACAAATGTCACTAGCCCAGAAGTGAAAGGAATGACTAAAGCCTTCTATGCACCAATTAAGGCAAGCAATCTGTGTCCATTTTCATAAGTGTTAAAGCACTCTTGTGTTTCAGGATAGGGAACATCATACTGTTTGCCTGCTGAAGTTGACTGCTTATCTCAGGGGCCACAGATTATAGCTAATATATCTGCTTACACCTAATTGCCTATTATCATAATTGCCAGTAGTGTCCCCAGGTGGCCAAGGCAGCCAACAACATCCTGGACTGTTATCAGGAGCAATGGAAGCGATTGTTCCCCTGTACTCAGAACTGGTGAGATCACACCTCAAGTACTGTGTCCAGTTTTGGGGCCCTCAATGCAAAAGAGACATTGAGGTGCTGGAGCGGGTCCAGAGAAGGGCAGGGAAGCTGGTGACGGGTCTGGAGCACAGGTCTTATGAGGAGAGGCTGAGGGAGCTGGGATTCTTTCACCTGGAGAAAAGGAGGTTGAAGGGAGATCTTATCACTCTCTACAACTACCTGAAAGGAGGCTGTAGAGAGACAAGGGTCCGTCTCTGGTCCCAAGTAACAGGACAAGATGAAATCGCCTCAAGTTGTGCCAGGGGAGGTTTAGATTGGATACTGGGGAAAAATTTTTTACACTGAAAGGGATATTAAGCATTGGAATGGGCTGCCCAGGGAAACGGTTGAGTCACCCTCTCTGGCAGTATTTAAAAAACAGGTAGACATAGCACTTGCAGATATGGTTTAGTGATGATTTTTGTCAGTGTTAGGTTGATGGTTGGACTAGATGATCTGAAAGGTCCCTTCCAACCTAGGCAATTCTATAATTCTATGATTATTTTTTAAAAATGATGGGATGCACGGTTAGAGGAGGTTTAGTTAGGAAGACAGACAAAAGGTCCTTTTTTTCTTTTAATTTGTAGATTTTGTTGTATGTTTAAAAAAAATGAGAGGTTTGAAGAAGATTGACAGCTTTTAGTAGAGGTATGTGGCTTCATTCACCTCTACCAGGAGCATTGTGTTGTGTGTGTGTTCCCCCCATCTCAAACCAACAAAAGAGGACTTGTTTCCTCTAACTTCTGACACCCATATTTTCATTGACAGTGGCTGGCATCTTTCAATACTTCCAACAATCATCAACCTTACAGAAGCAATGACAGTAAACGCTATATAGTGCCTACTATTCTAGTTATGATTTTCAAGATCCTTGCAGAGCACACATTTGAATCCTGAAGAATGTACATGACATGCACCACAATCCAATATCCCAAGAGAACTTGGGATGCCTGAAGAAAAGAGGGCTGCTACTGAAGGGTTTTGGCACATGCCAAGTCAGCCCATCAGTAGGAATGACCCATCAGAATCCACACCATTCTGCAGCATAAACAGTTGCCAGCTAATAGCTGCACAAGTATTAGCACATGACAAAAATCCCATCTTCCTAACACAGAGCTGTGTCCTCCAGATCCTTTCACTGACATCCAAAGACAGCCTCCTTCCTTTACTCCCTGAGAACCCCAAAAGACTGAAGACGAAGACAAGCCACACACAACAGAGCAAGAAACAAACAGTTCCTAGGAAAACATTAAATATCTCAGAAACGCTATGCCATCTTTTATATTCATGTTCAATCTTGATCCTGGACAATAACAGTGAAGGCTTTCTTTCCTTTGGGATTGGGAGAACCCCAAATCTCTACTGTGTTAAGGGTGAACACTGAGAACTATATCCAAATTATTTCAACCACCATACATAACTCTCATGCATAAGCAGATTCTTAAGGAAATGGACACCATAACCATATGAAGTTATTCCAAGATGCAATGCAATGAAACACGCTATTGAACAAACTTGCTTTCACAGACTGAAGTCTTGCTTTCCTACAAGCTAACAAGTTTAACAGCTATATTAATACCTACCAAAAATAAATATCTGTCAAAAGCTGAGGGGACAGCTAATGTTTTGAGGAATAAGGAGTGTGCATTTACCAGTAAGTTGGCAGATCCTGTGTTGTCCAGGATACAAAGATGCAACAGCTTCAGCCAAGCTGTAGAGATAACATGTCACAAGATCAGAAGGTCCAAAAACACACATCTCATTTTACTAATTGCCATTTCATGGCATTCCAGACCATTCAGAAGTTTTATTGTCCATGTAACTTACAGGAAAAACCTCAGTTAATTGATGATCCATGATCCAGCATGAAACTTTAACTCTTTTAACACTAACTAAAAACATGCATTCACCATTTTTTCCTCTGGAGACAACTCTTTATGCTTTGGGCCATGAGCACTAGATGAGAGGAAAAACTCCACATGAAAAGTTGAAGCCAACTTCAGAGCTGTCGTGGGTGGAAGATGGGTGGGTGACATCACTGAAGATGTCAACTGTGCTGAAACAAACATACGAAGGGAAAAAGCCTTCTTCCCTCCTTTGATCTACACAGCAACACTTGTACAGTTGGTCCATGCCCCCATTTAGGTGCATCCATCTTGATTGGAGAAATACCCAAACATTGTCTTCAAAAGTAAAGGGAAATGGAATAGAAAACCAAACTGAAAGACAATACTTCAAATTGTTACCACACGTTTTATTTAATTAATGGCATAGTTTTTTATCATAGAGCAACTAATATGCCTACAGCTTATTCTCAATACAACTAGTCCTACTCTTTTCCCTGGCAATTCTGACTCTTCCACAAAAGCCAGTTACTGAAGTAACCCTTGAACCCATTATAGTTCTGGCAACTAAACAAGCAGAGAGGGTCACTGCAGGGGCTGGCTGCTATCCAAAAAAATGGTTTTAGACTGCTTTAGCTTCCCAATTCTGCTCATGCTAGATCAGTCAAGCACAAGGGGTAATGGTTTAGGAACTGAAAGAGGGGAGATTTAGACTAGATATTAAAAAGGTGGTGAGACACTGGAACAGGTTGCCCAGAGAAGTTGTGGATGCCCCATCCCTGGAAGTGTTCAAGGTCAGGCTGGATCCGGCTTTGAGCAACCTGGTCTAGTGGGAGGTGTCCCTGCCCATGGCAGGGGGGTTGGAACTAGATGATCTTTAAGGTCCCTTCCAACCTAAACCATGCTATGATTCTATGAAGATGCAAGGAAAATGGCAGGGCTATCTCGTTTGCCATTAGGTCACCATTAGAGTGGCTAAGATGCACTACAGAAACTGGAAGGCTTCCACATGAAGCCCAGCAGGATACACTAAAGCACTGTTTGGGAGCAACTCCACTGACCCCTTCCCCCTCTCGGCTCCTGGCTCTCCAAAGTGCAAATGCAGCAATGTCACCAAGGGCACAGCGCGCAGCAAAGGCCTGGGGTCAGGAACCTCTCTCTCAAACCAAGCCATTAATAGCTTTCTATGCGTAGATGCGGGGGAACTGCCTTCACACCTCCCTTCCTCCAAAAAGTGAAAGGAAAAGGAAGGGGTAGGGCACAGAAGGGCAGACCCCTGAGGCACGCCGGCCCCGGGAAGGGCAGCCCGAGCTGCCGGCCTTCCTCTGTGCCCACCGACATCGCCAGCCATGGCGGATTCCCCCCCCACACACTCTATCCCCCCATTAAACCTTTTCACCCATCTTGGCCGTTGAGAAACGTGTTTTCCTCGGTTTCTGGCTCGAACGTGCCCCCTACAGATAACGGCGGAGTAAAGCTCCGAAAGAGCCGGCGGCTCATCCCAAGCCGGGCTCGATCACTAATCACTTCCTTCACGCTCCTGCGGCGGGGTTGGAGGGACACGGAGGTGAGACGGCGCTCCCGCACGGTACCGCGCCTCGCTCTGCTCGAGAACCGGGCCCGCTCCATCTTCCCGGAGCGCGGTGCGAAGGGCTGCGCTAAGCGGGGCGCCGAGCCAAGGCGGGCTTCGCGGGGAGCCCCGCGGCCCGGCCACTCGCAAACATCCAGGCCCTCCCTCCCTCTCTCCCCTCAGGCCCCGCGGCGCGGCACCTCCCGCCTGACCGCTTCCCCCTGCCGCCGGCGGGGAAAGCCCACCCCGGCGGCCGACCAGGGCGG